ACCGCAGGAGGGGGTGGGTACCAACGTGGGAGGCCCGACGGGGTGTCTGGGGGTTCTGTGGTTTGTTGGGGCAGGAAGGAGGAAGAGGAGGAAAGCCTCCGGAATCCGGTGCTCCCTCCTCCAAAGTCTCGGGCCGTGGGGGGGCGGCGGGGGAAAACGCGGGGGAGTTTAAAGGCCCAGGGCCTCCCAATCTGGGGAGGGGCAGGGAGGGCCCCAAGCTGACACGTCAAGCGTCCCCCCCCCCGCCCCGGCCTGCGGGAAGCGTCGCGGGGGCGGCAGAGGAGAAAGCTGGGGGTCCGTGGCGGGGGGCTCACCTGGTGCGTGTTGTTGACCAGACTGGCCTCGATGCCCTGGAGCGGGCTGCAGCCCTCATCCTCCTCGCTCGGGCTCCGGCGCCTCCGGCCGCCGCCCGGGCCGACCTTGGCTCCCCACAGCCGGCTCCCCGGCGAGGGGCCCGGCGGGCCGGCCAGCAGGGTAGTCCGAGTCCCGGCAGCCAGCGGCTGCGGAGCGTCCAGCCGGTCCTGGCCGGGGCCGGCTGGGATCGCGGGCAGCAGGAGGAGGAGGCCGAGGCCACGGAGCCAGAGCGAGAGACCACCGACGGCGGCTGCAGCAACTACCCGGGGCGGCTCCATCGCTGTCGGACGCCGACGCCGACACCTGCAACCTCAAACGCCCGCTCCCCTCTTCGGCGGTCCGCCACACCCCCTCCGCTGATCCTCGTTCTCATTGGCTGCTGCCTGCCAGGCCTCTCCGGCCCCTTAGGTTAGCCTGCCAGTCCGTCTCACCGCTGCCACTCCCCATTGGCCGGCGTCGCCTCCAGCTTCGGGCGTCTTCCATTCGGACGCCGAGGCGCGGAGCTGATTGGCCAAGCGGCGAGGCTTTTCCAGGGGCTTTTCTGATTGGCCGAGAGGGGTTGAGGTCATCGCTCCCCCTGCCCACCGTATTCGTGGCCAGGCTCGCCGAGTTAGCGCTGGAGGAGACCCGGGTGAGGCAGCAGTCCGTACACCGGGACCTTGCCGTGGCGGCTCTTCCCCTTCACCTCGCCACCCCCCCCTCCCCCGCCAAACTTGGGAGCCAAGCCCCGCGCCCGCCCGGATTATCTCGAACTTCCTTCTTGGGCAAAGTCTGGAGGGGGATTGGGGGTGTGTGTGGGAAGATGGGGTGGGGGCTGTTAACGCAACCTACAAAACCCTCTCGGGGGAATGTAGTCTAGTAGCCAGCAGTGGGCTGGAGGGGGCGGTCAGCTGTGCCTCAGGTTCCACCCCCGCGCACTTGAACCCCAGCCCAGCCTCCCCTGCTGCTGCGCCGCAGTCCGAGCTGCCTAAGGGGCTAAAGGAGCGCCGGGTAGGCCTGAGCCTACCTGCCCAGCCAGATAGCGATCAGAGCAACCCAGACAGCGGAGCAAGCCCCGAGCCTCCATGGTTGCCTTCCTTCCCTGCAGGGAGGCAGGGGGAAGCCCTAACTCTGGCTCTACTCAAGTGAGGGAATGGCGCTTCGGGGTACAACTAGGTAAGAGGGATCGTCTGCATTTTTCCCTTCTGGGTGAACAACTTCATGCCTACACACTCACTTACAAGCGTGATACCCCGTCTATCCTGTAGCCCTCTGTGTCCACGTTTGATATCTAGGGCACTGCAGAACAAAAAAACGCACTACTTCCTTCAAGTCAGGAATTATTCATATGAGCAAGATGCTCAGAGGTGCATCTCAGGTAGAACTTGTTCTTGATCATTCTGTCTACCGACTCCACCCTTACCGTGAGAAAGTTGCAGAGCCTTTACGTGCCTTCTGTCTTGGAAGAACCCAATAGGAAAAGTGCATCATGATGGAAAATACGCAAAAGCATATCAACCGTACTAACTCTCATCTAGGAAAAGCTAATTTGTTGGCGAAAGGTGACTACCCCTCCCCACACACATTAGCAGTAAATCTAAATAAGAAACAATTAATATAAGCATATTACAGAATGTATAATACATCATCCTGATATTTGTAACAAAACTTTTTGGGGTAGTTTTAACTAGAAAAAAACTGCGCGGGGATTTCCCAAAATAACAGAAATGGAGTATTAATGTGAAGACATACTTTCAAACCGAGAACTGAAGAAAATTGAATCAAAGTCTCCAGTTGCTAGGCACAAAAAGATAATGCCTGTTGACAAGAGACTCCTTGAAAAACAGAACACTTTCTCCCTTTCCGTAACACCACTATGATTGACTGTTTCTTACCCTCCCCTCCCCCCATCTACCACTTTTAATCTGTATCAACTATGAAGTAGAACACAAGACAGCCAGTACTAGTAGCCATGTGATTAATGGAGGGTATAAAGGATTATTTCTTTGTTTGGGTGACACTCAAGGATGAATGGGCTATTGTCTGTCTTGGGGGAAAAAACAGTGCCACCTCCTGGAGAGATCACCAAAGTACATGCTTACCTTTTATTAAAGATAATTTTAAAGTCAGGAATTCATTTGTTCTGCACAAATTTAGCCCTACGGTAAGTGAGCAAGTATTACGTTAAAATTCAAGAATCTTACAGTTATATGTACCGTTATTTGGCATTTACCAAACAGCATGGTACAATGGAAACAGAAATAGTGAGAAGAGGAAATGAGGAGAAAGAAGGAAGGGAAAGGAAGGAGGGAAAGGAGGGAGATGAAGGGTAGGCAGGCTGTGGAGACATTTCAAGTCCTGCCTCTGATACTTAGACTTTGACAAAGTCACTTAACCTCCCTTGTCTTCAGTTGCCTCAATTATAAATAAGAGGGTTAGATTAGAAGGCCTCTGGGATCCCTTCCAGCTTTATATATACATATATATGTACATATAAGGCTAAAATACATATAAAAAGGTAGTAGTATGTGACATGTCCCTTCTGCTGGATTTTAAACTCTTCAAGGGCAAGGACATCACTTACTTGTCTCCCCCACAATGCCTTACAGAGTAGGTACTTAATAAATATTTACATTTTTGTGATTTCTTACCTAGTCTTAATCACTGAATGAGCTTTGCCTCAGTCAAACTGAGACCTGGGAAAGACCTCAGCTTGAAAAGGCCACCGTCCCCCACTGCCATCTGGGTTCATCCTCAGTCCTCCCAAACTATATCTTGCCACTGGACCCAGGTGGCTCTGAAGGAGAAAGTGAGGCTGGTGACCATGCACAGCCTCCCTCACTTAAATAAATGCAATTTACTTGCAAGTCATGGCATCACCTTCCTGATACAATGGCCTTCTTTGAGAATGAAGGACAAATAACATTTTTGTAATTTGTAAATATTACATTTCTCTTTTCAACATTTATTTAATAAAAAAGTTGGAGAGTCAGAAGTTAATTACACTTTTATTCAGTATACTGTAAGTTTCCTCATTTGCCTGGTCAAAAGATACAAAAATATTTTATTCTCTATTCAAACTTATACTTTCTCCAAAATAATTTTGCCAGGTGAATAGGTAGATGTGGATAATAAAAAGCCCTAAAACATTTAAAGCTAATGGATATTGTATCCATTATCCAACTACTGTCAACCCACCAAGAGTCTACCTAAGAGAAAATCCTAAATATGGAATTCCTTGACAATGCATCAAAGTTTGTCCTATTCAAAAAGCGCATATAATTAAGGTGTAAAGTTCACTTTGGATTTAGTGCTTGCACTCTAATAAAAATGAAGTACCAGGCATTCAAAGGGAACTCATAAAACATGAGCTACACACAGTTTAGAGCTATGGGCTAAGTGCTACTCCTAGCTCACTGTTTTTTTCCCAAATTAAAGCACAAGATCACAAACACTCTCAAAATTTCTCACCTCTCCTCAGAGGGATGAGATGACTTTGATAATCTCTATCCTGGCTTTCATTCATCTGGAAATCGCTCACAGCATTTTACAACAGGGTGGATTCATTCATTCACTCATTTATTCATCAGGCCTAGCTAGCTGAGCTAGGCCCTGGGAGACCAAGTTTGGTTAAGCCAGGATTCCTGCCCTCATGGAGCTTACAGCTAGGGACTTCAAGTTCTTTGAAGGCAAGTCATTGAATAAACATTTGCATCATAAATCACTAAACTGTATGCCATAAATTCCCAACCAATGAGGAATACGGATGTTAAGATAACCTAAAGGTTCCAACTTTTATCATTCATCAAGAAAGGAAGGTGAACAGGAAGAGAGAAATTAATCCAGAAGGACATAGTAAAGCATCTCTTTAGAATTAGGTGCTTTTGGTTCCAAATTAGTTCAATACCTTTAGTTTCCAAATGTAATACAAGTCCCTGTATATAACAACTTGGTTTCTGTTGTTAATTGTTGTGTGAACTTCGGCAAGTAAACCTCTCCAGGCCCCATCTCCCTAAACTGTAAAAAGGTTAGACTAAATGATCTGTAAGGGCCTTTCTGTAACCTATTATAATTTTATGCTAGCAATCATTCAAATTTAGTTTCTTCCAACAATCTGAACCAACTTTTAACATTTATTTACTGATTATTTTCCCCAGGACTATGATTTAATCAATGTATAGTATTCCCCAGTGAGAGAACTTTGACTACCAATGCAGAGCAGCAATTGTTTAGTAATTTTATAGTCTTAAGAGTTGCCTAGGGCACTGAGTTTAAGTGACTTGCCCAAAGCTAGTACATATTAGAGGCAGGACTCTGACCAGCTCTTAATTCAATATACCATTCTCCTACTGGTCTAATATTCTTCATAGATGCATCCTTCTTTAAACACTAATACCTGTCTCAGAGCCAAGGAAATAATTCTGAGGTTCCCAGAGGTGAATTACAATCAACTCTTCATTACCCACAATAACTCATATTAATTTTTCATCCTTTCATCTTATTTTCTACGAAATGCAAGGGTCCCCTCCCAATAACTTTCGGATATACATGGCTCTGCTCTACTGATAGTTAAGATCTGAAAAATGGCCTAGTTCTATACTTCATAATTTGATTAGACTCCGACGCTGGCAAGACCAGAATCATGAATGCTATCTCAGAACTCAATTAGTATTTCACAGAAATAGCTACCAGGTACTCTCACCAGCCAGCCCCCTATGTTGTTGGTCACAAGGGAAAACAAGCTCCAAAGTAGCAAATGGCTTATCACTATCCATTATGATCATCTGGGTTAATTGGGGGTGTAGAGGAGAGGTGAAAGGGAGATCAGTGTTATCATTTTTCTAAGATCCATTAAATGGAAGTGGTTTGATTGACAAGGGTGTTCTGCAGCACTGTCCCCTGTAGGCCACAGGGGGGAGCTTCAATAGTTTGAATTCATTTACAAACTCCAAGGGCTGTTTTAAGTGCCAGAAGTCTCAAGAGACTTGAGAGGGCACAGTACTTTAAGCAGAGTCACAACATGGGAAAATTAATATCATTTTTTCCTTTACTTCCTAATATAAGCACTTCACACACACA